CTTTTTTCTTCCCAACATCAGGAAAGTTTTCTGTTATTATTTCTTCAAACAGGTTTTCTATTCCTTGTTCTGCTTCCTCTCCTTCTGGTACCCCTATTATGTGGATGTTGTTTCATTTCGTGTTGTCCCAAAGCTCTCTTAGGCTCTCCTCCTGCTTTTTAAATTTTCTTTCCAGTTGTTGCTGTGTTTGTGTGGTTTTTTCTACCTTGTCTTGTAGCTCACTGATGTGGTCCTCTGCTTCTACTACTCTACTGTTGAAGCCTTCCATTGTGTTCTTTATTGCAGCTATGTCATTCTTCATCTACTCCTGATTCCTTTTCATGTTGGTGACATAATCATTCAGCTCCTTATAATTCTCATAGAATTGTATGCATTTATCTTCCAGACGTTTAAACATCCTTATAACCATTACTCTGAATTCTTTCTCTGTCCAGTTACTTGCCTCCATTTCATTTCATTCTTTTTCTGGTGATTCCCCCTTTTTCTTTCCTTTGGGTATTGGGTTGTTTTTTTTGTCTCCCCATTTTTTGCTGTATTGTTTTAATTGTATGTCTTAGATCCAACTGTTTTGCTATCCAGATTCTTTTGGGGGTGGTTCTACGTAGTTGGTGATTTTTGGGACCCAGTGGTGCAGTCTCTCAGATCCCCTGGGCTTGGTGATCTAGTGGAGCCCCCTACTTGTGCTATTTAGGATCTTCTGATGTAGTCGGGTTTTGAACGTTGATTTCTCATTCGTGGATGAAGTCACGCCACGAATTGTCTGGCAATGTGACTCACCACCGGTTTCGTTGTGCAAGCTGTTGTGGATATGATAGTGGTTCCGGCTCTTATGGAAAGGGTTGTCTGAGGTCTCACTGGTATATGTTCACTGTGATTTCATGGAGTCCATGGCCTGGGAAGAAGGTGTCTTGGGGCCTGAGGCTCAGGTACTGTGACTTTGGCCAGTGTTGTGTGACTCTTGCTGAGGTAGCGTCACTCTGCAATTCACTATGAGGTCCCAGAGCCTGTGACCATGGGGAGCAGTTGTCCCATAGTCTGCAGTTGAGGCAGTGGGACTCTGGCCCAAGTGATTTCCCTCTGAGAATCGCGAGGGGGTCCAGGAGCCAGCAGCTAGAGATGTGGGAGTCTCAGTGTCTGTGGCTGAAGCCATGTGACCTTGTCCGGGGAGGCGAGTCCTCAGTAACTCACCGTGTCCAGAGCAGGCAGGTGGGAGGGGGAAGTCGTGGATCCTACAGAGAGGGCTATGGGCCCTTGGATGGGGAGGCACATGCCCAGTGGCAGCTCTCAGAGGGGCCCAGGAGCTGTCTGCCACGGCTGCATGCTCCTGGAGCCCACACGCTGGAGCGGCGCGATTGTGGCGTATTGTGGTGTCCAGACGCCGGGGAGGGGGAAGTCCCAGTTTCTGATTCGTGAGCAGTGTGCACCCTTGGTTGGGTATGCGCGTGCCCAGCAGTGGCTTACAGTCACCCAGGAGCTGTCCACTGGGGCAGTGGGCTCAGGGGGCCTGCATGCTGGAGCGGTGCAACCATGGAGACCGGATGCTGGCAGCCGGGGAGGTGCAAGATCCAGCTTCTGCTGCAGGAGCCCTGCGCCCTTGGTTGGGTATGCTTTTGCCTTGTAGTGGTTCACAGAGGCACCGGGAGCTGCCTGCCGAGGCAGCGGGCTAGGGCGGCCCGCGCGCTTGTGCAGCACAACTGTGGTGTCTGTGGGCTGGCAGCTGGGGAGCGGGAAGTCCGAGTTTTTGCTACAGGGGCCGTGTGCCCTTGGTTGGATGCCTGTGTGCCCACAAGCAGCTCCCAGAGGCACCAGGAAGCCGCCTGCCGGGACAGGGAGTCAGGGGGCTCCACGTGCACTGGTTCAGTGTGACTGTGGTGTCCAAAGGTTGGCAGCCAGCATGGGGTAAGTCCGAGTTTTTGCTACAGGGGCCGTGCACCCTTAGTTGGATGCATGTGCGCCCAGGGGCAGCTCCCAGAAGCACTGGGAAGCCACCTGCCAGGGCGGGGAGTGAGTGGGCCCCGTGCGTGCTGATTCAGCACGACTGCAGTGTCTGGAGGTTGGCAGCCGGGGCAGGGAAGTCCCACTTACTGATGTGGGAGCCGTGTACCCTTGGAAGTGGACGTCCTAAGGTCTGCAAGTCTGCATGCAGGCCAGGCAGCAGGACTTTGGCTGGTGCGGCTGCAGGGTCCTGAGCAGTGTCCAAGGCCAGTCTGGGTGATGGTGATGATGAGTTCCTAGAGGATGCCGCTCTCCCCTTCAATATGGTGTGGGCTCCGTGCCCGAACCCAGCAGCCCAGGTAGTGCCTGCAATGATGGCAGGGGCTCCCCATCCAGGAGAACCTGGTCTGCCAGCCCCTGATACTCCTGCAGGATCTAACTGTCCCTCACTCACACACACACCACACATATCCACACACTCCCCTTTCACCCGCTCACTCACTCACACCCTCTCCCGCACCTCCGTCCTGCCAGCTGCCATCTTTTTCCCATTCTAGATTCTTAAGAAAACAATCTGCCAATATTGATCAGGAGCCATAAAAGTGGTCTTGCTTTTATTTATTTATTTATTTTTTGTCTTGCTATTTTATGTCTGGGAATATATTCTAAACACATTCCTGAGAGGTAGGAAAAAATGTCCTTTATAAACATGTTCCTTACAGCACTTCTGATGACAGAAAATTATAAATAACTAAATATCCATTGTCATGATATGTGATCAGTATAAAAACAATATCACTATATAAGAAGATCATTCATGAAATGAACTATGTTTATATGACTATAACTGTTTAATACAGATGTAAACACGGAAATGTAAAAATTGGGGCAGACTGTAAGAAATGGTAGGTTTTCTTCCCTTTGAGTTTCTTTAATATTGCCATACACTCAGGGGAAAAATCTAAATTTATCCTGTCTAAATATAAAAATGTATATATCAAAGTTACATAGATATAAATACAGATAACAACTTAAAAAAAAAAACTTGTTTACAATAAACAGCAAAGTTCAAACTGAAAAGGTTTTCAGATTGCAATATAAAGTTTGAATATATGAGCTCTTCTACCGGAAGGACAGTCATTATTTCTAGCAGTTGGCTGAGATCCCTATTGCTCTGAGGCACTAAGATATGGCCAGTGGGTTAACTGTGATTCCAGGGTGGTGATGGGTGGATTCCATGCACCGTGCCCTCCCACACTGAGACAAGACGCTGCTTCTCAGGACATCTACGCTGAGCCTGGCCCTGGCCCCACGCACGGCCGTCCCAGTCCACACATGGCTGTCCCCCATGAACGGGATGCTCAGTGGCCCACAGATGAGCCTCTCTGCCATCCTGATACTGGCTGCGGGTTTCTTAAATAACGACAACGTAGAAGACTGTGGGTTATGTTGTGTGAAAAGTTTATTTTAAAAGTCTTTTCGAAACTATTAACTCCTCTCTAAAATTAGCTTCCTCCCATCAGAGAACATTTTCACAAAAGAAAACAATCTGAAGCTAAAATCTACATGAAAGTCGCACCTGGCTCTCCCAGCTCTCTTGCCAAGATGGAGATGCAAATTACTCTCTGTGAGGTTTGTGGTTTCCCATGTTACTTAAATTAGACAAGCCTCTGGTCAACTTATTCAATGCCGCATTCCAGCATTCTTCACCATATACTCATAGACTATAAGATGTGAGATACAGGTGCACGTAGGAGGCACCAAAGTCTCCTGAGCCTCTGGGAACTGACAGTTGGCACTGCACTTGAAGGGACACATCATGAAGGACCACACAGACACCCTGGAAAATGACAGCAGTAGCAGCTGAGCCCCCCAAAGACTGGAATCGCACATGAGCACAAACAACCTTTAAGTCTGTGAACACCTGTTTAAATTGAAATCACATTCAAAGACTTTGGCTGCTCTTAAAATTTTTCGTCAGAAACATCCAGCATGGGAATACTGGCCACCTTTCCAGTCCCTCACCAATACAATACCACAGACCACCAAGGTCCCCGAGCCTCTGAGGACTGAGCAGTCAGCACCACACTCGAAGGGACACGTAAAGAATGATTTACAATCACAATGACTCATAAAAAAATTAAGACTCCCAACGTCAAAGAGGAGAGTATTGTAAATGTTTTTCAGTAAGTAACATTCTACACACAGCAATGTCTTTAAAAAATATCTCAGAAATCACCCAGTTTCCACAACTTCCTGATATTGCCCTTAGTGTAAGGAGGAAATTAAGACACTAAAAGTTTTAAAGAGTATTAAGTTACAATATCAGCAAAGCCAGTAACATCTTACGGACTGAAGGTTGAGAAGAAAAGGAAGGATTCACACTCTGGGATACTTGTTGAAGCTGGGGATGGGCACAGGGGACCATCTTCATTACACTCCTCATCACTCAGACATCATTCACTAGACCAGCGATTTTCAACCTTTTTCATCTCGTGGCACACATAACTATCTACTGGGAGAGTCAGCTATTGCATGTTTTAAAAATTCTTGCGGCACACGGGTTGGACATCACGGCACTAGACTCTTCTTTCTACTTTTGTACATGTTTGAATATTTCCATAATAAAAAGTTTTTTAAAAGTTAATTTTTTCCACTTACATAAGGTACTTAGAGTTAAAAACATAGAGACAAAAAGTAGAATGGTGGTTGCCAGGAGCTGGGGGAAGGGGGTTGGGGAGTTAGTGTTTAATTGTACAGAGTTTCCGTCTTAGAGATGAAGACAGTTTTGGAGAAGGATGGTGGCGATTTTTGCACAACATGATGAATGTATTTAATGCCATTAAACTGTACACTTAAAACAGTGAAGATAGTACATTTTTTGTTGTGTTTTTTAACACAATAAAAAAATTTGAGAAGGAAAAAAAGTTTATCTTCTATCAATGAGTCCTAAAAAAGTAAAAAGTAGTCTCAAAATAGTATCCTTAACTTTTCACCTAAACCGGCCTCTTTATTACCCCGAAATGTAGGAAGAAAGAGAGGGAGGGAGCCCTCTGTGCACTCACGGCAGGCTCCTCGTTCAGTGTCTGCAGCATCCAGTTTTCCAGCGCCTGGAAGTCCCGGGGACCTTGGTATTTCACAGCTTCCTGGCCAGGCTTGAACAGCTTCAAGCTGAAAGGGGAACACAGGATTACAGCAGATTTTTAAAGCACTCCAAACTGCTCTGAGCAAAGAGCACGGTCATATCAGGGAGCAAGCTGGTTTAGGGAGGCAGCCAGGAAGTGAGTGATCAGTGGGCTGCAGCCAGGCAGTATCTGCCACTCTCTGATGAAACTTGCAAAGAAAAAAAAAAATAATCTAGGAGATGATATATTCATTTAATCCTATAGTTTTTAAAGTTTTATATTTTATTCAAGAAAAATAAAGCTGAGGTGGACACATCAAGCCCAAAGCTGTGACTTAAACCCCAGGCTGCAGGTGTTCACTTGTGCAGAGCTCTCAAGCTTTCCCTGCCAGGGGTTTGCCATCCTTCCCAGCGTTAGTAGTTGTATGTCCTGCTTTTTCATATTTTTTAAAATGAGAACTGTAGTAGAAACAGCACTGTATTCCCAGGCTGCCGTGACAGCTCCTTGACTTACAAAGCATGAGCATCCAGGTGTAAGAACAACCTTGACAATGGCTGATGGTTACTCACTTCCCCACAGAGAAGGAATCTTTTCTTTTTTCTACACATATTAACCTCTGAAGAGATCTGCAGACAGAGCATGGAGCATTCCTTCAGAGGTGAGCAAAAGACATCGCCAGAGGCTCAAGTTAATGCTTCCAGACCCTGTATCATGCCGCCGGTCATGGGAAAACATGCTCGTGATAACACTTGGTAGTAGGTGTCAAGGAAGAAGGGGGCGGGATTAATTCTTCTATTGACAGAATTAGTAGAAGGTATCAAGGACGGAGGGGGAAATGTGGCTACTGACAGAAAAACACACAGGCAGGCCTTTTTTGGCAAGCCTGCTCATCTGAAACACCCCTTACATTCTACAGCATGCACCTGGAGTTCGTTAGCAGATGCCCAAAATGCAGTGTCAAAATGTAAGATGTGCAGTGATCAGAACTGTGGGTTTGAACAGCTACCTCCCCAAATGACTTAAAATGAAGTTCCACAGCTACACCAGAAAACCAACACTGCTGGGGTCCAACCCCAGCAGGTCCATGGGTCCCCAAAGGTGTGGACGGAGGCGGCAAAGAGGGAATGACACGGAGACAGCCTTCAGTTGATCAGCAGCCTAGTCAGGACCTCTAGCCAGGATCTCCAGCGAAGTTCTGGTTAAGAGCTCCGGCCAAGTTCTGGTGTTTATTGTCTTGTTACATCTGTATTTATACCAGTTGATTTTAATCCTGTCAATTTCTATTGCAAAGGTTAGGGTGTTTCTTATCTCCATTCCAGGGAGTAAAGATTATGTAGCTTAAGTGTGATTGTTTGTAGTTAAAGTGATTAACTACCCGCCTGGCACTTAGTTAAGGGGTTTTATCCCCTCCCTAACTTCAGGGAAAAATCCCTACCTGGGGAAACAACCTTTCTCGGAGAGGTGACCTTGGTTAAAACACATAGCGCTAAGGGGAGCAAACATATTAAGAACAGTATGCTATATACGCCAGGTCCCTTGAAACATATGCTGTGCAGATGTTTCTTTCCTGCAGCGACTGTGTCAAGCAGCAAGGATGGACCAGCTTCCGGCACAACACATTGGCTGCAGTAGGTCTTTACATTACAACAGGCTTAATGGCCTCACCCAGAAGCTAAGATCCTGCGATGGGCTTAGCTGACTTTCCTAATGTGCCTCCAACAAAGAATATTCATGCCACTTCCTCAGCAGCTTACACTTTTACAACCATAACAAAAAGCTGAAATCTAACTAGATTTGGCCAGTATGCCTGTGATTCCTGAAGTTTAGCATTGTAAGCAACTCCAAAGTATGATTTCACAATTAAGAATACACTGCTGTAAAAAAGAAAGAACTCAGCCCTAGCTGGTTTGGCTCCGTGGATAGAGTGTCGGCCTGCGGATTGAAGGATCCGGGTTCAATTCCGGCCAGGGCACAATGTGTGCAGAAGGCAGCCGATCAATGCTTCTCTCTCATCATTGATGTTTCTATCTCTCTCTCCCTCTCCCTTCCTCTCTGAAATCAATAAAAAATATATTTTTTTTTTTTTAAAAAAAAGAAAAGAAAGAACTCTTTCCATTTGCAACAGCATGGATGGACCTGGAGAACATTACGCTAAGCGAAATAAGCCAGTCGGAGAAAGAAAAATATCACACGATCTCACTCATTTGTGAAATATAATGAACAACATAAACTGATGAACAAAAATACATCCAGAGACAGAGAAGCATTGAACAGACCATCAATCTTCAGAGGGAAGGCAGGGGAGGGAGGCGGGTAAGAGATCAATCAAAGGACATGTATGCATGCATATAAACATAACCAATGGACACAGATACTAGGGAGGTGAGGGAATGTGCTGGGGGGTGGCCAATGGGGAAAAAGGGAGACATATGTAATACTACATGTAATACTTAAACAATAATTTTAAAAAAGAAGAAAAGAATGCCCAGACCCACCCCTGGGACCATATAAAGCTCTGGAAACATGTGCTTGGCCCAGAGAGCTAGAAGATGCTACTGTCCTCTCCACCTCCCTTCTCCCTTCCAAGCATCTCTCTCCAAAGAGCTTCAGGATCCTCAAATATCAGAAAGGACCAGGCGTTGTCAAACTCATTCCCCATTTCTTTGCTAACTTTAAAAATCAGTAAAACCCAACCTGTGATATTTTCCCAACGTGGTGTGCTTTGAGCAAAAACAAAATAAGCACTTTTTAAAAATCTCTTCTTGATGGACTGAAAACTTCTCTGCCTGCCCAAGTCTGAGATTCTTCCTAAAGTCCATAGAGCCTAGAAATAAAATTAGAGCTTCCTCCACAGACTTTTCAGTCGGACTTCAATTCTCACTGTGGAGGGACAGAGAGCCGCAGGGTACAAGACCAAACTGTTCTGCTACCACCGACCTCCAAATGGGCATTTGGGAGTTTGGGTGATCTCTTTCTTTTTCAAGGAGACTGTCGGGGAGCAAATTTATGGGTCACTGTGGAAAACAATGTGATGAAAGTTCTGCTACAAGCAATGAGATAGTGCTATGGACTGAACTGTGTCTCCCAAATCAGATCTGTTGCAGTCCTAACCACAGTACCTGTGAATGCGGCCTTATGTAGAAAGGGGGTTTTTACGGAGGTAAGTTAAACTGAGGCTAATAGGGTGAGTTCTCATTTACTATGACTGTGTGCTTATGAAAAGGAGAAATTTGGACACAGAGAGAGAAGGCCACGTGAAGATGGAGGACTGGAGGGATGCGTCTACACGCCAAGGAACACCAAAGATTGTTAGCAAACCCCAGAAGCAGGGAAGAGGCAAGTAGGCTTTCCTGATAGGTTTTGAGGGAGCATGGCCCTGCTGATGCCTTGATTTTGTGCTGCTGGCCTCCAGAACTGAGAATAAATGTCTGTTCTTTTCAACCAGCAGTTTGTGGCACTTTGTTACGGCAGCCCTAGGAACCTCTTTCAGCCCTGCCCCTGCTCACGTTCTCCCAGATGACGAAGATTATTTTCTGGCTCCACAGGAGGACCTCAACACTTTCCTGAGCACAGTCAGCCACCTTCAGGGGCACAGGAACTCAATGCCTCCCTCACCAATCCTCGCCTCCAGTCACAGGGGCCAGGAAGAATGACACAAAAGCAGATGTACCAACACACACACCCCACGCTCAGGTGTTGACATCCGCTATCCGATTCAGGCCCTGCAACATCTCTATGAGATGAAGACCATTTTAGAGGGAGTAAGAGCTCAACAGGTAACCTATGAACGCCCTCCTGCAACTACATTTTATGCAACACATCTGCCTCCTGCCTTCAATGAAACAAATCTCTCCCCAGGCACCTGTGTGTGATGGGCACGCAAGGTCCTTCCCAAATCACATCCGGCATAGTGTAAGCTCACTTTACCTTTTTTCCAACACAAAACCAGTGCATGGTTTTATCTGAGAGACCTTATATTCTTAATAATGTTGGACACATGATCCAACACGGATCTTTTAAAATCTGTGAAGAGCGTTGCAGACAGACAGCTCATATAGTCAAGTCCAGGTGGAACCTCTACTCCCCTCTCTGCTGCCCCTACTGTGCGCCCTCTCAGCCCTGTGACAGCTCCTGTTGTTTCGCCTTCCCTGTGGCATGGTTGGTGGTGCAAACAGCCACATGGCCACAGATGGCCAGCTGTTTAAGAGTGGCCACCACAGTCAACCATCTCTGCGGCCCCTGCACTTTGCGGCCACAGGCTCTCAAATAAGTGAGCATCCATCTCCTCTCCTGCTCCCATGACTCAGTGACGGCTTCTTTGGGACACTCCATCCCAGCAGAGTTTACGTTAAAGGCAATGTGATGATGCACAGGACACTGGTGCCTTTAGGCAGGTACACATGGTGGGAAGTTTTATCTCTATTTGACCTGACTTGATGCAGACTTGAACTATGGCACTTAGATTAGCGAGCATTCACCAAAGAGGAAGAATTCCCGAGTCCTATGTGGAAGTGCCGAATTTCCAAATGTTAGGGGAAACCTAACATTTGCTGGGTATGCTCAGAACGGTGTTTGCACACATGCTATTTCATAACAATGTTCAGGGGGCTGGGGTGAGTCTCAGTGTCCTACTTTAGACTCAGAAGTTAACCAGTGCGGCCAGAGTTACACGATAACTAGATGGTGGAGCTGGGATTCAACCCTAGCTTCTAGGTTCCAGCCCAGAGTTCCTTCCGTGTTTCCATCCTGACTCTCAGGTTGGGAGATAAGCTCAGGTTTTAGACAGACTTTCCTTAACCCATCAATGTGAACAAGCATT